GAGAGAGAGAGAGAGAGAGAGAGAGAGAGAGAGAGAGAGAGAGGACTCACTGCCGGAGTTGTTGCGCCGGTGAATGTTCGTCGCCTCGCCGGTTGTGTGGCTACCTGAGAGTGTGAGGACTGAGGAGGATGTGAAGACTGAAGAGAAGAGAGGTTCGGCTAAGGGGAAAGAGGTGAAAGAGAAGAGAGATTCGACTTAGGGATTTTTAAGTTTAGTCTATAGGTCGGGCCGGGCCAGGCTATTTTGGCAAATCTTGAGTACGACTCGAATTTATTGCGGTTCGGGCTTTTAACCCCAGGCTCATTTGCGTGTTCAAGTCCATCCGGGGGCCGGGCCGGGCCGGGCCAGGCAGGGCCGACCCATCGGGCCACCTGGCCCATGAACAAGTCTAGTAGCTACATGTGACTACACTGATGGCAGGTGGGTACGCAACAAGTTGATAGCCGTTGAAATCAATACCAACAAGGCAACAAGTGCCCTGACGCTGTTGTCGTCCGGAGGGTGATCACAGTAGAAGTCGGTGTAATTGGGCGATCTTCTCTAGCCTTCTCGCTGGTTTCTTGTATGATGTCGATAAGGGAGTGAATGAGCAAACACCCCATTTGCTGGAAATGGAGATTGGCTGGGGGTGGAGGAGGAGGTGGGGTGAGGCGGCTGCGGTGGTGAACGAACAGTTAGATTAAAGATTTATTTTTGGTCATTTAGGTTTTAAAAGAGAATGAGAAGAGAAGGAAAATAGAGAATGTTTAATAAAGTATTTTAATAATTTAACGCCTTCTATTATTTGACTTAGCGGTAAACGGGTTAAGGGGTGTTTATTGCAATTTAAAAGTTCAGGGAGGTATTTGTTGCAAAAAATAGTACAGAAGGGTTTTTATAATTTATTCTTTTAATTAAGAGATATTGATTGTAATTACTCTTTTATCCTACGAAGTGCTTGTCACGTCTGCCAAAAAAAAATTCGCAATGCAGCAAGTAGGGTACTCTCTGTCTCTGGATAGGTCATCCGTGAAATCTTCCACTTTCACATCGCCTGTAGCCAATTTTTGTGTATTTCACAAGTAACATTGGCCCCTGAAGTATTACTGTATTAGAGATTAAACTTGTCTAGGAAAACAGATGCATTCTGACCAACTGACAGGGTTTTTGGACTCCAATTGCTCCATCAATAGGGGACAGTGAGAGAAACTAATAAGATCATTTTGGGCCCCATGCCAATTTGGCACATCGAAGATTCTTTGTCAATTCATTTTGGACCGGCCTTGATCCAATCATCTAATTACCATAGTGTCCCAAAAATCAGACCCAGAATGGAGCTATCAGAACAAGGCGCTGCTGTCCTATATGGCTAATTGGCTGTACCCTATATAATAGGGTCAGATTGGTTTGGTCTTTCGGGTCTACCCAACTATTGACAGGTCAAACCAAATAGTTTAGAGACGTACAGCTCGATCCAATTAAGGATGTCATGTTGATAAAAAATTGTCCAAATTTGCTCGCTCATATGTGTGATTCGGATTGATTGGGCTGGGTTTAAGCTAAATCCAAGCCCAAACCTAAGAATTAGGCCTAAGGTCTAAGCCAAATTCAAACTGTTTAATTCATTCTCAGTCCACACTAAAATTTGATGCACTTGAATTTGAGCCCAAGCTGAGCTCAGTATGAGCAGCTAGTCAATTGCCATTCATAATGATGCGTTCTTTTTCAGGCAAGGAAAATGAAGTTGCAGGAAACCTAAATGCGGAACCCAATGTCTTCTATCAAACCTAATGCCTAATGTAGTTGGGTTTTCAAGCTTGGACTCTGATAAGGGCTGAAAGATCCGGATTCCGACTTCTAGAGGTCGACCAAAGCAAATTACGTGTTGGTTCAGCAAGGTTTGGGCAAGTTTTAGGCTTCTTGATTCTTTCATCCCTACACGATCTCAGCCATGCTAGAATTGTCAATTTGGCATCAGCGAGGTTAGGTTTTCTGCCACGCCAGGGATTTCACCCCATTACCAATTGACATCAAACAGTGCTGGGATTTGAGAAAGACATTGCCAATACATCCCGATGGCTCAACTTTCTTGTTAATATAAATAGGGTGTCTCGACTTTTAACCAATAAAACACAAAACTGGGAAGCTTGTATCCCATTACTTTCAACCCAGTTGCCCGACTGTGCTCGTCTGCTCGAGATGCAACAACAGGAAGCTAGTATCCCATTACTTCCAGTAATATGAAGCTTCCAATTTATTGTATACCTTCATGTGCATATTTTACTCAGAGATGGCAAAATCTTCATAGAATTGAAATGGACAAAAGAAACATAGTCATACACACATACCCTTTACATATATATATATATATATAGTTGCCTGTGATACACATTTTTTCGCAGCACAAGGGCTTTTGATGTCTATTTACAGTGCAAGTACCTATCAACTTGATGATAACTTAGCAAAAGAGTAACTGAGACGCCCCTCCTTTCTCTGTTTTAAATATGCCATTGGATCTGAAGATCTACCAAGGACTTGGAGAGAATGCCAATAAACTGACACCCACTTCATGTAGCCTTATGAAATTTGCCAAAAGGAAGCATGGACACTGAAATTCGTAAATTTGGAGATCCCAGACCCACGCTTCTTCCATTAACGCTGAAATAAAAGTGAACTCTTCCACTTAGGATGGCGAATCAGTTTTTATTACCCTCCACCACTTCGGCCAGGACTAAGCTTTTTCTTCTTGTCATTAAAGCTAAGATTCTGGACTAAACTTGGAAGGCAACACTGTGCAGCTCTGGATAATTTCTCCTTCTCATGCTTGGGGTCTCTATTAGGAGTTCTCTCACTACTGCAGACAGAGTTTGCTCCACACATATATGGGGTTCCATTGGTAGATTTTGGAGGCAGAACAAGGTTTGTTGAGTTGGGTTCTGGCTTTCCATTTGCCATAATCTGGTTTCCTGCAATATTTTGGTTGTTTAAAACATCATTGTTATCAAAGCTCTCTCTGAAGAGCTCAGCTAATTTCTTTTTCTTATCGGTTGGAGAGGGTTCAGGTTTAGAATCAACAGCCCCATCCACAAAAAGAAATTTATTTAGTCGAGGGGTTCCTATGAAGCTGCTCTGATGTATTGGAGTACTGCCACGAGAGGGGGTAAAATCTGCATAGAAGATAGAGCTACTATAATACAACTTGATAAACCCCACAGAAATTTAATAGAATAGTAAACACAAAATAATTTGTTCATATTGTTAGAAAGTTTTTGCATCCTGCAGAGAACAGTCCCACATTTCCGGTCAATCAATAGGCGATAAGCCATAGCCATTGAATGATTTCAACTGTCCAACACATGAATTTTCTCATTGGACAGTTAAAATTATCAGATTGGTGTCATCTGCTGGAGGGGTAGCCTTCCAACTGGATGACCTGAAACAGTTCTAGGGAGACCACTTGTATAGCATGCAATGTAAGACACTAAAGCAGTATACTGCCAATAGTGCAAATAATATACCAAAATTACTTCCAAGACATAAAAAAAGAGGATTTAGATCATGCCAGCTGATGTGATCTTACCACCATTGACACTGAAGAAATCATCTTCACAATCTGATTCTAACCAGGGCTGGGAATCAAAAAATGTTTCCTCTTTACTACCTGCAAACAAGAGAAAAAATTGATGTACTTTGAATGGAAGAATCACACGAATGTCCAAAAGTAAGGGCATGTCCGTTTCCTCTCAACTCTTATCTCTTAAGAGGAATCTTATAACTTTAAGAGAAAAATGACTGTTTGTTTCCTCTTATCTCTTATCTCTTAAAGTGGAATCTTTTACAACTTTTTGTTTCCTAACCATACCCCCAAGACACAAACAAAAGTTCTCATATACGGAGCTAAAATGGATATTAGACAATTTTCAGAATTCAGAATTCATAACAACATTCTCTGCATTCAGGGTTAAGAAACGAACAGGCCCTAAGTTGGAAGAAACATCAAGACGCAAACACACAACAACAAAACTATTTGAGACATGAAGATGCGTCTGGCAAGAAAATAACTTGGGAAATGAGACCAGAAGATGCAGAAATAAATATTCTGGGATTGCTTCAATTAGAATTTTCTTGCAAGATAACTAATAATTTAGACATGAGACTCTTTGCATATGATTTTGAGAAATTTGAATCAATACCCATTTTGGTAGACTTTGTCATTTCTTATTACTAAGAATGGTGATTACAGGTAGGCATAAGTTGCATGCTATATAGCTATTCAGGACTCAGGACTCTGTATTAGGGAGATATTCTATATCAAATTTTAGTGTCGAATAATCACATTTATTTTGTATCATCAAGAAAGTTCAGCAAATGTTCCAGAAATTGTGGATCATTTCCCCCAATTCTCCTAGTACAAAACTACAACTTATAATAGCAGCCAAGAGAGAGACTACAGGTCTACTCTGTTCCACATATGAGAAAGACACCCAATACACATTCTGCAACATTTCCTGGGGAGTTATGTGGGAGTCCTGAAGGCATTCCTGGTGGACTTGATGTCTTAACTTCTTGGTTATTTCCAATGTGTTTATGACAATTTGTCTTAATTCATTCAGATGAATTTCGAACTTTCTACTATCTATCATTTTAGTGCTGGCTCTACTGGGGAGTTATGGGGAAGTCCTGAAGGCATTCCTGATGGACTTGATGTCTTAACTTCTTGGTTATTTCCACTGTGTTTATGGCAATTTGTCTTAATTCGTTCAGATGAACTTCAAACCTTCTACATTCTACTATCTATCATTTTAGTGCTGGCTCTCCCATTTCTCCATGAGAAACAATTAGAAATTCATTTTCTGCCTTCCAAGTATGGTCCCTTGATCTTCTAGCTGTAAAATGATTGTTGGGTGTTAATACATGCACTGCGTTGAGTAATTTTGGCCCCAAGATTGAATATGCACCAGCCATCCAGTGGACTTATCAGGGTAGGGGAATGCTGATTCCAGGAGGAGATCAGAACAAAATTTGCAGTGAAAAATCAATATTCATTTCTGAAGCTTGATTGAGACAAATCAATGAAAATACAAATGCCTAAGAAAGAAAGTTGGTCTTCCAGGTCGCTTGGCCTAGTTGGTGATATTCACTTGCTTTATTTGATTTTTATTTTTTAAAGGAACAGCAGATGGGTAGAAGTGTAGAACATACTTTTTTAGGGTAGAATAAAACAATTTCTTTAATCCATATTAATAAACTTTTGAACATCAAACTAACATGGAGTGAAGAAGAAAAAATTAGTGGGGAAATCGTAAGACATATTCTTCAGATTTATAAATTAAACTGCATACTCTAAGTGGTGCTTCTACATAAGAGGATACACGATCCACACAAGTTAGACTTGGAAAGCAGGTAATCTCATGATCTTGGCACACAAAATCCACAAGGATGAAGGAATCTAAACAATTAATGTGTTTGTACTTATAACGCAGTAAATGTGAAATCACTGTATTTATTGCTGAACAATGCGATGTTTTGTCCAGCAAAAGTTGAAAAACGAATAGTTTTCGCTATCACTGATTATGAAGGAAACCTGCACACTCTTGCGAATCAAAAGATTCAGCCCATTAGAATTATTCATTATAGTACAGGTCTAGTAGTTTTTTTTTTTTTTTGATAAGCTAGAGTTCTAGTAGAATTTGATAACGATATTAATAAGTACGAAACAATAGAAGGAAACTAATTATGATTTATGAGGGTAAAAGGAAAATAAATCCCTTTTTTTATCATTAAAAAGGAAGCCCATTTCTCAAATTATCGAGATAGAAATAACCAAGAGTCATGGAAGAGATGTTCAAGAGTTTTCAAGAACTGTTAACTGAAAAAAGGAAAAGAAAAGAAAAGAGACAATCCAAAAACTGTTAAAAAAACAACATAATAACCAATTCGCACTGGTCATCATACATGGCAAACATAGAGCAAGATCAAAGGAATTGCATTGAAACACCTAAATTTTTTTGGAACTTATCCAACTAATTCACTCTTTTAGGCTGTAATAGAAAAAAAAGTTGAGGGAAGGTTCTTAGAAATTTCATATTTGTTAAGAACCCTTCCTCAACTTTCTGTTTCTCTCTTATTTCATATCAAACCAAACATAGCTTTAGTTAAAAAAAAAGCAAATTCAACGAGTAAAATTGACATCATACCAAAGTCCCGAAATGTAGTTACAGTGGGTGGCTGAGATGACAACTGAGACTTGAAACCCAATTCAGTTGTCGGGTGTTCACCGTTTACGGGGTTTTCCTCAATGGCCGACGGAATCACCATCTTGCCGGTTTTGGAACCAATGGATAAACGGAATTTCAAGGCTGAATCCGGGTTCTTATGGACAGAAACACAAGAACCCATGTCTTCTATTCTAAAAAGAAGACCCTTTTTTGTCACAGAGCTTCAAAAAAATATCTGTATCAGTGTGAACATGGACCGGGGGAAGGGGAGAGAGAGAGAGCGAGTGGTAGTAAAGTAGAAGCAGAAGAAGAACAAGAGGAGGGTATCTTTGGCTTTATGCAAAATGAGTCGATGATTCTTTGTAAGAAAATCTGAAGTGGGAGATTGGACTTGAAAGCGAAGTTATGGTATTTACAGGAGGGGGTCCATGAAAAATAAAAGAAAAAAGAAAAAAAAAATACTCTTCTTTTTTTGACCGATGAACAGAACAGGAAAAGCTGCCTTTGGGGGTTGGCTGGTTCTGCGCCTCTGCGTGCATTTTCATGTGCCGTGATTTTTTGTCAGAGCTGTTGTGCTTTGGCGTTTTTACTGGCGCTCTAAAACACCTCGGTCTCCCTTTACCTCAGAGCCCAGAAAGGTTGTCATAATATTGGAATATTATATATCCCTCATTCCCTAAATAATTAATAACGATTTATATATCTAAAATAATAATAATAGCGAGTGGTCAAGCTGCGTTTGGTTGCAATGCAAATGTAAATACATTATATATTTTCTCATTTTTTGATTTATGAATGTAAATATGGTTTATATTTTAAATCGTTTTTGCATTTGTCTTGTTTGTTTGAAATTGGTGCAAAAGTGTGGATTCATCATTAAATGCTCTAATTATCTTAATACTCTAATATATTAATTTTGGTCAAAAAATTAATTATCAAGAGAAAACAAAATTGTGTCCAAAAGATAGGTACATTAATACTCTTTTATGAGAGTACAAAAGTGTCAGAATATACATTTTTGCTCTTATAATCATTACTTTTTTATATTTCAAACAAACGCTCGCAAATGCGAAACGGGGTACACAAATACCCAGTTTGGCATTTGTATCGCAAACACACGAGCCTTAAGTGGAAAAATGATTGGTCATTTCTTTTAAAAAATGTTTTTACCAAAAAAAAATGCTAAAACCTCCCCTCAAGTTTCTAATATAATTGTAATTAGACCTCTCTCTTAAAATCTATCTAACAAAAGTCATGAAAATGTCCAAAACAATCATGCTGTTTATTTTTAATCAAAATGTTTATTTTTTAATTTTTTCTTCATATTAATTTGTCCTAAATCCTTCCAATCTTTTTTTTTCAAAATTGATTTATTTTGCAAATTTGGCTTTCAAATTAATTGTTTAAAGATAAAATTACAACTTTAAACTCTTTTATTTTTTATTATTCATAAAGTTTGTATTATTTTTTAGGGTCCGACTATGATATGGAAAACCATATCATATGTAAAACCTGTACTATTGTCACGTATACAACAATTACCAGGTTTATTTAAGTAATCGGTAATTGGCTTTTTATATGTTAATTAAAATTTAAAAGAGTTTTAATTACTCATTAATCAATTCTTATCTTCTTCCCAATTCCCTCTTGTGGTCGAACTTCTCCTCTTGAAATCATAAATCCATAATTCCTTCAATCAGCATCCAAGAGGTTTTTTCGTCTCCCTCACTCTCTATCACAAGTATATTCTTCTTCTTCTTCTGATCGAACTTCTTCTCCCTCACAAGAGGCTATTCGTCTCCCTCACTCTTTTGGTCGAACTTCTTCAATCAAACATCCGGCAGTTGTTCCCTCTCCCTTCTCAATCAATTGAAATGGTCCATATGTCTGTTAAATTACAAATTACTGAATTGTGGAAATGTGAAGATGACTGTTAATACAGGAAAGAATCCCCATAATACAGAAATGAAGAACAACAGCCTTGTCTACAAGCCTTCTTGGTTGTTATTGACTGAACAACGTTGAAAGAGTAGCATCTAGAGCATAATAGGACTGGGAAGATACTTTTAAAATATACTTCATTGATCTTGCAACCTTTTGGGAGATGAAGCATCAGAATGCCAACAGAAGAGTGCTATTATTATCGCAGTGGATACAACTTGGGTGACTTGTAAACAGCTTAAATATTCATGGCGCCTCTCTTTCAGACCTCTCCTAAAAAAGAATTGAATACTATTGCCATCAAGATGCTCCCCAATCTCTCGAATGTGACCTTCCTTGTATCTCTGACTCACTATCAACCATCATAGGTTTCAGAAGCTTCTGCTTCTCTATGTTTAAAATCCTTGTTTAAGCACCTACAAGATATTGCAGAGAAGGCAGAATGCAGATATATTTGAAGGAATTCCATGAAAAAGTAAAAGAATCAAATAAGCAGACATAAGATTAGTCTTATGATCAATTTATAACCTTTTGGACGTCCACAGGGGATGGCTTTCCATCTTGTTTTTCAGGAAATTGGCTTCCAAGTAACATTTTACCCTCCAAAACAGATGGGATTGATTTGTCATTTATGTTCCCATTTGCAAGATCAATTAAGAACTCCGCTGGGTTCATAGCTATCAGAGGAGAGCAACCAATTGAAGATAGATATAGCATAGCTTCAGAGGCTTTTCTGAAGTACAATGAATTGCCTCTACTCAAAAGAATTAACTTGTCGAACTTGTTGAATAATCTGCTTGATGGCTGATGAATTGTACTCACTACTGCTTTTCTAGCCTACAAAACCCCACACTGAAATTCAAGGAAGGGTGTTCTCTAAATTAAAGAAAATAAGAAATGCCGTGGTTTATTACCTTTGCAATATTGTGTATCATTTGAACTATTTTGCTAAGAGCTGTAGTTGAGTCTAAACCAGAGGTTGGTTCGTCTAGGAAAAGAAGTGATGGGTTGAGCAGTATTTCATTGCCGATGCTCCGGCCATGGTGCTCGAATTATCATCTTCAAGGATGAAATGATTAGCTTTCAATTACTACATTAACAAAGGAACTCTAGGTAAGTAAGCACTCTACTTTAAGGATTAGCTCTCATTACGTCTTATACCAAAAGACAGAACGGTGTACATAGCCTTTGAGAAAACGGGGGTCTGCCCACTCAGCTGCTCCAACACCTTCGCGACTTTGGTGAGATGATCTCCACCTTCACCTAGGAGATGTGGATGACTAATTTTTGAAGTTTGATCTCCCGCGTTGGGTTCGAGAGCTTCTTCTCTGAAGCCATTGCTCTCCGCAGATGAGGTTACAGAGGCAACCGAGTAGGTTGATCGTTTACGGAGAAGTAGGGGGAAGGTGACGTTTAACGGCAAATGTTAACGTCTTTCTTATCTTTAAATGATTTTCTATTATCAAATGTGATTTTAAATTATTTTTGAAACCGATTACCTTCGATAACCCACATTCACTGAAATAGAAAGCCGATTGTTAATTGGTCCATCTCATCCGATATAATATGGAAAAAGTTTTTCATATCATAGATTTTCCCTATTTTTTATGTAAAAATCAGCCACAATTATAATTATATTGATATTTCGGATATTTTTGTGCTTTTTATTAAAAGATTCTAAAAAAACTCATTTTGAAATTATTTCAAAAAATTCAAGGGATATAAACTTTAGGAAAGATTTTAACAATTTACCAAAAAAGATCTTTAAAAACTGAATCGGGTCCTATACCAATCAGATCCAATCTTATAAAAACGATCAGCCGTTTTCCCTTTTTTTTTTTTTGATAAGCGTCCTGACGTTGTCACATCTCCCTATTTAGCTGCGTTAATAAGTGTTTATAAGAGAAGCAATAATTTTTAGCATTGGACGACAATGAGATCAGTGTAAGCCCGTTCTAACACAGACAGCCTTTAGAATCTTGTATTGGGAACATCTCCTTTATGGGAAGATATTCCCAATGCAAGGGTATGATAGCTATTTTACCAAGCATTTTTTAAGGCACTTAATAATAAAAGCCTCACCAAACGCAACCTTAAAATGCTGGGAGTGTGGGTCATACAGATCATACAACCCAACCGATTCGTAGTTAATCCAATCCATGACGTTGCCATTTCATAATGATAATGTAGATTGTAGGTGTTTGACGTTTGAATTATCAAATCCCCACCCTTGAATCCTGATTCCAGAGACTCAAGAGGGCCAAATCAATAGATCATCCTTTCTACTGAATGGGGCGTATCCTAGAATCATGCTTCGTTGAAACTTAAAGCCATGGTGTGGATTCTAGCGTGATGAACTGATGACTTATGTAGCTTGTTTTATTAATATTAATGATTTTCATTACTTGATTACGTTATCAGTTTTGATCAAGTAATAGTAATTACCAAGCAAAGGAGATGTAGTCGTCAAGATCCCATAGGGTTGATACAATAAATAGCTAGGTATTGACTAATGACTAAACCAACCTCCTCTTAATTGGTTCCCTTGGAGCGACCAACACCAAGCTTTATTTTTGGTCTCCACTTGATCGGAAAAAAACCACGAGGTAACGTTGATTTATTTGAATATCCAATATTAATTTTCTTTTGTAGTAGGTCATCAGAGTTATAAAAAGGGAATTGGAAGGTTTGGGTCATTATTATTATTATTATTATTATTTAATTTTGTGGTCCATGTTTCTCGTCGACATTGCCATGAGCGATTCAGCTTCAAACAAACCCATGCGCATTATTACTGGCCTGCTGGGTCAAGCAACGTAGCTAACAAAACTTTTCATCGAAAAGGATCAGATTAAAATTTGAAAACGATGATGGTTGAGAATATGGATAGATATTGGATAAATTTGGGAATCCAATCTTGCCTCTAGGCAACGTTTGGTATTTCACTCTCTTTTTTCTTTTACTTTTTATTTTTAGGTAAATTACGGATTAGTACCTTATATTTGGATAATCTCACTTCTTCAGTATCCAAACTTTAAAATGTGTTATTCTAATATTTTAACTCCTGAAAATTGTTACTTTAATCTAACATCATTAATGAACTTTATAGTGGGTAGTAAAATTATCAAACTGCCCTTTGATATCGTAAACAATTAAATTCGTTTGCAGAGCTGATGAATTGGTCTCTTTCATGCATATGCTAGCATATGAGCATAGACCTCTTATTTATCAAACTACTCCTTGATCTCTTCCATATTCCACCTATATCGGGGGGACTCGCACCATTTGTCCAAAGATTGTTTAGTATCGGGCTAAGGAATTCTTGACTATGATTCCGATGGCATGAGGGCATCTTCAAGAGGAGGTGGATTGGTGAAGGGTTTGGGATTCTCTTCATCATTGTTCTGGTGTATTCTCGAAAAAAAAACAATGAACTGTATATTTTTTAAAGGGTAATTTTGAGATTCTGAAAGTTTCAAATCATATCTATGTATCAAAT